CTGCCATCTGTTTTTCAAGTAACGAATTGAATTTAAAGCCATTTGTGAGACCGGAGTGCACGTAAGAGATAAAAGTAAATCACCTTATACCTCCATGTCTTGGCAAAGAAAAGCAGGTGATGGGTTAAAGCCTGCACATTTAAAATGTGGAGATCTTTAACCCAACACCTGTATCGAGGCGAGAGTTCCATACGCCTTTATCCATAACGAAATTAGATAAAAAGTTGTACCATTAAAACGTGTGGGGGGAGTGGAGGTATAGTTGCGCATATTCTTAACTTGGACACTAGATGGAGGTGAGCGGTCAGCTTCAGGCCTCGGTCGCTTTACCCTCTGAGAAAATAATCCGGTGCGTTAGATAGAAGGCTGGGTGAGCAGCGAAGGTGGTCTGGACGCTAAGAGGAAAATATTTTGCCGCTGCCGGGAATCGAAAGCTGATTCGACGCCCGTCCACCCCCGTAGTTCGTCACTATACTTACTGAGCTATCACGACTTCTCTACAGCGAAAATGTTGGTTAACACGAGTAGCATAAAAGACGGAACAACCGTCTACACAGCTCGGTTCACAACTGTGTTAAGAGAGAGCAGCCAACAACAATGTCAGAAATAAATTCAAAACTACACTTTTGTAAATGAAAAGTCGTACAGACGCGGTCTATGGGCTAGACGACGGAGGGGTCGGCGTTCGAGTCCCTATAGAGTCAAGAATTTTCTCCTCTCAACGTCGCCCAGACCGGCTCTGGGGTCCACCCAGCGTCGTACACAAGGGGTACCGGGGCCCTTTCCTCGGGGGTAAAGAGAATGGGGGCATGAAACTGACCACTCACCTCCAACTAGAGCCAAGGTCAAGATAATGTGGATCTATACATCCTCTACCCAATACGTCCTCATGTCGCGGTGCTTAATTGGTTAAGCACAGGCGAAACTTTATACCTTTTCACCTTTCACATGCACGGTCAAAGCTTCAGCCAAGTAGGGTGACACGAAATGTCGGATAATCGGGGTTCTCACTCCCTCCCTAAAGGAGCTGAGCCCTTCTTGTACAGCTACTCAAGAACTTCCCAGCATTTTATGGAACCCGAAGGTTCATTGTCGTATTCACAAGAGCCCTCCACTGGTCCCTATCCTGAGCCAGATCGATCCAGTCCATCCTGTCTCTCTAAGATCCATTTTATTATTATGCTTCTTCAGTCTACGCCTGTCTTCTTATTGTCTTTATTTCTGTATTTCTCACTAAAATCCTATGTGAATTCCGCTTCGCCCCTACGCGTGTTACATGACCTGCCCATCTCATCCTCATTAATTATACTTGGCGAAGAGAACACGTTATGAAGCTGCAGTCAGTCACTTGCGCGTGGCTGACTGTTGGTTAGCGTTACTGCTTCTGCAAGCTCTCGGGACACCAGTGTCCCTGTGAGGTTACTTGTGAGGTTCTGACGACGATGACGGAATGTTGCTTGTTTGACTTATTCTTCGATCTTGCAGATGGGGTAGCACGTTCCTCCGAAACGCTGGCAAAATCGTACCAGACTATAAGGCGTCACATCTCAGAAGCCAGTACTCTTCTTACTGAGGTTACGTGTGATCATACTCAGTCCCTCCAGACAGTTGCTGCTACAGGAGGCCTGACTTAGCCATTCGCAAGCTACGGGCCCATATACCTTCGGTCGTTTGAAGGTCAATTTAAGGATTACGGGGTTTTTTGCGGAACTGCATTTGCTTCTTCTTCTATTCCTGTTGGTCCCACTTGGAGCACAGAGCTTCAATTCCTTCAGTTTCTTAATCTAAAACAGTCGGTAGGACTCCTCGGACGGGGGATCAGCCAGCCTCAAGGCCGCTACCTAACTCAAACACAGAGTAAACACAGACATCCATGCCTTGAGCGTGATTCGAACCCACGATCTCAGTGTTCGAGCGGGCGAAGAGATTTCATGCCTTAGACCGCGCGGCTATCACCAAGCAGTCTTGGCATTTCCAGCAAGGAGTTCTATGGCGCTACATGAGAGTCAATGTTTTAAACAAATTCATTCTACATAAAAACGATATAAAGCTAATCCTTCTAAACTTCTAATTCAATATTGCGACACTTCTCATTCAACAATAGGTGGACGATAAAGAATTATGAAATAATCACGGAAGCCTAGACAAGACGGATGCTATTCTTACAGCACAGTACGATCGTGTAGCTTGGCATAAGTTCACCCAAGCTTCTGAGGAATGTAACGCCTCCTTCTTCAGAGTCGAAGAGAAAGTCAAGCAAGAAACCAACACTTTCCGCTATTTAGTGCCTGATTCCTGCTGGTTTCTTACTCGGTTAAAGTTCCCATCCTGAAGAAAGACGCGACACATACGTTGGCCACCTACTTCATTTTAACGTATTTGAGTCTAACCACGAGTGGCCAACACAGACACGTTTCACTGTGTAAGGAATCCAAATATTCTTCGAGAGATGTAGAAGCAGACTGAATCAGTTTCTGCGCAGCCTAAGTTATCTCGCCACCATGAAGCAGCCGAACTATCGTGAGCTGACGGTGACACGCGGTAGCTACAAGCCGGAAGGTCGCTGGTTCGAGCGCCGATGAGGTTAATTTTTTCAATTGACCTAATCCTTCAAATGGCATTATGGCTCTCGGGTCGACTCAGCCTGTAACACAAATGAGTACCAGGAATCTTCCTAGGGCGTAAAGGGTGGCCGGCACGTAAGGCTGACAACCGTATCGCTATCTGTGAACGGACTGTCTAGAAATTGTGGGAGCCTCGACGTCTCACAACCCTATGGGCCTTCATGGCCTGTTACAGGGATGGTTTTATTTCTTTAACTTTTTATAGTGAAGTGACAAATGTACAGGGACACAAGGCCCAATATAGCGTTTGTAGCTACATAACTTGAGGTTAAGTCCCATGATGTGAAAGTCTGCGGATAAACTGAGACCTCCCAGCTAACCAAGCAGAAGGCATGGGAGTTCTCAAGTGTTATAAACTGCTCGCAGAGATGGATCTCCGCCCCAAGCGAAACGACTTCACCTTCCATTCCCCCCCCCNTTACAGAACAGAATAAAACACTTCTGTGCTGACATACGCAGCACTGCACCATAACTGCCCTAATGACCTCTTATTAATTTATTGTCCTCACTGAACTGGAACTGATGTGGGCGATGCAACTGAATTGGAACAGCTCAAGCAAATATCTGTAGCTCAGAAGTTTTAGTATATGTCAGCCAATTTGCCGGATACTTACTTACTCACTCTTGGAGCTGAGCTCTTCTGGAGAAGCCGCCAATTCTGCAGCTACTCAAGAATTTCCCAGCATTTTATGGAACCCGAAGGTTCATTACCGTGTTCACAAGAGCCCTCCAATCCTATCTCTCTAAGATCCATTTTAATATTGTCCACCCACCTACGCCTTGGTTCTTCCCAGTGGTCTTTTTCTTTCTGGCTTTCCCACCAATATCCTATACGCATTCCTCGTCTCCCCCATTCGTACTACATGACCTGCCCACCTCATCCTCCTTGACGTGATCATTCTAATTATATTTGGAGAAGTGCTCCTTCCTTGGCAACAGGATCTGCGTACACAAAAGTTTTCAAATGTTCCCACAGATAAAAACCCAGAGGATTCAAAACTGGCTAGCGTGGAGGCCATGCGGTGTTCTCCTGTGATTATTCATCGGTCATGATACGTGTTCTTGAGAACGTCTCGTACAGCACGGCCAATGTGCCGGACCATAATCAAGCATGCACCACGTTCGTACTCTGCCAGTGGTACAACTTCCATCAGCTTTGGCAGGTCATGTAAGAGGAAATCTCGGTAGTGGTTGCCTCTAGGCGGATGTGGCAAAACATGCGGGCCTACTATACAATCGCCAAAAATCCCTGTCCACACATAAATGCTGAACTGCTGTTGGTATCTACAAAATATTCTTTCAGCTGTAACTCACTATTTCAATGTTTCCGAACACAAGTTAATATATTTTTCTTATTTTGCGATGTGGAACTCGTGAATAAAATTTGTTCGCACCTTTCACTTACATCACATAATTACACATTAATTTATTTATTGAATTATTTATGATTGACAGTGTACTTTATGAACTCACAAAGAGTTATTTCCTGTCACAAAGTGTGTGAATGACGGCGTTAACAGTCATGCAGCATGGGCACATAGGCCAACATAAGAAATGGAAAGAAATACTGCAGAAAGGTGGATAGGAGCTAAAGAGACTCTCCTCTGAAATTTTGCTTGTAAAATTTTACTTCTTTTGGTAGATCGTGCCATCCGACTTTCTTCAATTAATGTCATTCAGCTCTCTAAAGTAGAATCCAAAGTTTCAATACTAAACCCAATCTTGAATCAGTTCTGGCTACGGTCTCTTCCCACAGCAGTTTTAAGTACAATTTCATGTTATCTTCCCACTTACGCGGTCACTTTCTAAGAGGCTTTCTCACAAAAATTCTATATAGATTTCTTATTTCTCGCAGTCTACTTACATCCCTAACTCACTATGTCCTTCTTCATTTCACTATCATACCAATATACTACCAATGACCTATATAACCCAAGAAGTTTTTTCCTTAGTGGGGTGGAACTAAGTCCACTTGGTACTGCGGCCACTTCTGGCCTATTTTACCAGCCCCAAATGATAGATGAGGGTGATTGTGGAGCAATTGGTGGAGTGAAGATTGGCAGGGGAAACCGAAGCACTTGGAGAAAACCTGCCCCAGATCCACTTTGTCCACCACAAATCCCACACGACCAGATCCGGGCTCGAACCCGGGGCGCCGCAGTGGGAAACCAGCGACTAACCGCTAGAGCTATGGCACGGCCCTAACTCAAGTAGTTCATGGTTACAAAACACTTTAACTGCCCAACTGCTGAGCGCTTTGTTTTGAAGGGCATTTACGTTCTTCCCTCAAAGCAAACTGGCAATGTCCCTCTATCTACAGGGGCTGGTATTGGAAACGAGGGACCGTGCAGCACCCTGACGAACTGTGGTACTTACATTTACTTGACCTCCTGCTTGGCGGCACTGGGGTCCTGGGAGGCTTGGAAGTTAGCACAGTGCTTGCCGCTGCGTCTTGATGAGATGGCGTACAGCCACTGTTGGAACTGTTCTTCGATCTGGCCCTCAGATTCGAAAGTTTTAACGAAGAAAACATGTCCGGCGCACAGTTTGTCACTATTTTATTTCAAAAGCAACAAAGAAACAGCTGTTAAATGTCGTTTGCCGTTCGAGTTCTTTTCGACACTGCTTCGGCGACGCCTCATTTTGTGTTCAGTGGACTGAACGGAAAACAAAACTGCCGCCACTTTAACTCGGTTACACACTCTCGACTGCACACGTCATGACAGTGGGGAATGCTTGTGTCTTTCGTTGAGCTGTATCACTCACAACGGCAGGAAGCAACTTCCAAGCTCTCTTCCGGTAAAACGAAGCACAGAATGTCTGGCAGGACGTCAAGATCTAGTTATTCGGATTTAGAACGTCATACATGTCCAATTACAACACAGATGTCTCATGTAAGAAGAAAACATTTCCAATCAGTGCACTTACGTCTGTTGGCCAGACTACTCAAACGTTTGTTGCAGTGTCTCCACGTGGGGAGGCATACTAGACATAACTGAATAACCCTTTGAGATTCAGAGCGCACAAATGTGTCAGGAATTGAACTAGTAGGAGAAGAAAAAAAATAATAGAAAAGGGGGAGAAGGATGAGAAGGAGAAGGTGAGCCTAAAGAGGAGGAATAAGGAAGACTAGAGGAAAAGAAACAAATAAAGTGAAAAAATACGAGTGAAAAGGAGGATGGAAAACCAGAAGAAGAAAAAGAAGATAAAAGAGGAATTGGTAAAGAAAAAGAACAATTAGTAGAAAGAGAAAATGGACAATAGAAAACTAACAGATGAAGCAAAGAAATGTAAAATGATGAAGAGAAAGAGTAGAGGACTGAGTAGAAAGGAGGACAAAGAAAGGAAGAAGAGAAGAGAATATGTGTAGCAAAAGGAGGACTAGAAGTGAGAGTAGAAAGAAAGAGCAAGGCTAGGACGAAATAGAAAAGGGGAAAGAGACGAACAGGAAGAGAAGGAACAGCAGATGAAAAAGAAATACTTCAAAAATAATAGAGAAGATGGAAGACAAAGGAGAGACAGAAGGTGGCAATAATGAAGACGAAATGGCGCTTCCTTCTGATGCGCTGGGACTGATTGGGAAACGCCGTGGCGCGACGCGAAATGGCAAGTCGACTGCTAAACGCCCTGTCTGTATCCATGGTAAGGTACGGCAGATAAAGAGGCATTTTCGGTGAAGTAAAATAAACAGGACTCACAAAACCAAACAGGATGGTTGAGTTCTCTATTCGGGAAAGCGGGAGGAAGTAACAAGAAAAGGAAATTATTAACAAGAGACATGAATATTTTAACAAACTGTGAGATCACAGTCTGACGAGACGAGACGAAACGACATGACAGAAGTGATCAAGATATTGCTGCTTTCATTGCAATGTGTCAGCTATTACTGAGGATATAAGAACATGTCGCGGTACACTTGTTGAGAAACACTGTCTGGCTGAACGAAACAAGCTGCGTGTAGAGGCCCCTTTGGGGCACTATACTGTCATCTTTGTGAGTTGTTTTCCGACGCTCTCGGTCTATCTCAAAATACAAGGCGATTCTAAATTATTGTCGGCGTTTCCGTGGCCACTAGGCATGGAGGTGAAGGCCGTTATGAACAAGCCAACCCTCCAAACAGTCGTTTGTGGTACACCTCACTGCAAAAAGCTCGGCTAGTTGATTTTTGTGGGCTTCTATCAACATCTTCCTGCGAAGTGCTCGGTCTACCCTCTCCGTTTCGGTGCGGAACATTGCCTGTCTCTTGAAATTGCTGTAACCAACGTCGCATAGCGTTATCTCAAGGTGGAACTTTTCCATGTTGAGTTCTGTAACGAAGATAACGGATTTGTTTCGAAAAACCAAAATATGCACATTCCTTTGTCTTAAACAGTCGCCATTTTGAGGTATGACATTATATTTTGTCCCAGACATCAATGCGGCGAGTACAGCGTTGCCAAATAAAACTTGAGCTATATTTTCATAATCCGTATGGAGTTTTATTTTGTTTCCGGAAACCCCGACAATAATTTGGAATCAGACTGTACGAGTATATGGAGTCAGATGGTAAGGTAAGGTAAGGTAAAGTTGTCCCTGTGCTTAACAAATTAAGCACTACACTATGAAGACGTATGAGGGAGTGGAGGAATAGAACCATATTTTCTTGACCTCGGCAATAATTGGAGGTGAGTGGTCAGCTTTACCGCCGGGAATGAGCCCCCGGTATCCATTCGATAGGAGGACGGGTGGGCCCCAGAGCCGGTCTGTGACGACGTGGAGAAGAGACTCTACCGCGACTTGAACTCCGACCCCTCAGTCGTCAGATGGTATGACTGGTGAATAATAAATTCCAGAGGATATGGAAGGAAGCGGTCGTGGCTTAATCGAGGTAATTCCCGAATTTGCCTAAAAGGAACCGATGAAAACCACGAAAATGTCAGTCAGGATAGCCAGGTTTCTGGCCGAGATTCGATCCGAGAACCTCCCGAATAAAGTCCAGAAGCGCTACCACTCTACGCTACGTTGTCACGTTGCGACAAGAGAAACTGGCCAGTTCACCATTGATACGTGAGCCAACAGTCAAATTCGAGGAATTACTTTACTGCACCCAAAAAGCGCAGCCACAAACGCATACGCAATAATTAGTTAAGATCAAGTTATCATTTCTTTCGTGGCGCGTCTGCCTTCCCCAGAAAATTCCATTTTTCATCTTGAAACTCTTCATAAAAATAAAAAAAGGGCCGTGTTATCTAGCAATTGAATAAGTAAAATGTTACAAAATTAAATCAAAGTAAAGAAAGACGATGGAAATTCAATTAAAAAGGTTATTCGAAAATAATGAAATAATATTATTCTTATCAGCCAGGATATCGCAGTCGGTATAGAGACGTCCATGGATCGATTCCCGGCAGGGGTAAGAGATTTTTCTTCGCTTCGCAGTGTTGAGACTGATTATAGGGATCACCCAACCTCCTATCCAACGCGTACCGGTAGTTTTTCCAAGGGGGTAAAGCGGATGGGGAGTGAAACTAGCCATCGACCATCTACTACCAAGGTCAAGAGGGGTGAAGCTATACTTCTACACCCCCAATACGTCTTCATTGCATGGCAATTAACTGAGCATGGAAACAAATTTATCTTCATCATTTTAACTGTTTATATGTGGCAGTACCATTTGATGCCTGCTTGTCAAATCAGGGATCGCTCATAGCTAGAGCACAGTGAACATGGCCTTCGATGTCCACTCGGCAAAAGTGGTTTTGGCCCTCCATTCTGGAATCTTCATACTTCTGTCTAGAAAGGAGCTTCCCACAAACTGCACGGTGTAGCTTAGTTGGTTGATTCACTATGCTAGTAGCCGGAAGGTAGCGGATTCGATTCCCGATAAGGTCACTAGATTTTTCAATTGATCTAATCTTTCCAGCCGCACTATGACCCTGGTGTCGACTCAGCCTCTAACAGAAATGAGTACCAGGAATCTTCCTGGGGGTAACGGGCGGCCGACGCGTAAGGCTGACAACCTCACCGCCATCTGTTAGCCGATTGTGTAGAGAAAATGTGTGAGCCTCGACGTCTCCCAACCCTATGGGCCTTCATGGCCTGTTACAGGGATAGCTTTACTTAACCTCACCGTCATCTGTGAGCCGACTGTCTAGAAAATGTGTGAGCCTCCACGGCCTGTTACAGGATAGCTGAACCTTTCCATGCCATTTAAAACAATTCCCTCCTTATCTTGAAGGCTGATTAACATCTTGTTAAGGGGAAGCGGAGCGTGCACGCGTCTTGAAGATCAGAGGAAGGCAAAGCAACAGGCGGAGGTTACCCCTTTACCTGTAAGTCGTCACGCAACATTAGAGAAGTACAGCGACTAGAATTACGACAAATGTTTGTAGGAGTCTTTGTATTTTGCGATAGCTAACAGAACTGAGCCCTCCTTGAGAAGCCGCCAGTCGCTCAGTCACTCATGAATGCCTCATCATTACATGAAACCCGAAATTTCATTACCCTGTTCACAAAAGCCCTCCACTGTCCCTATCCGGAGCCAGATCAATCCAGTACACATCACCTCACCCTATTTCTCTAAGACCCATTTTAATATCATCCTCTCACCTACGGTGGACTCTTTCCTTATGACCTTTCCACCAAAATCCTATATGCATTTATCTTCCCCGTGCGTGCTACATTCTATGCCCATCTCATACTCCTTCATTTGATCATTCTAATTATAATTGAGGAAGAGTACAAGTTGTGAAGCTCTTCATTATGCAGTTTTCTCGAACCTGCTGTCACTTCATCTCTCTTCGGTTCAAATATCCTCCTCAGCACCCTGTTTTCAAACACCCTCAGATAATGTTCGTCCCTTAATGTCACAGACAAAGTTTCCAACCCATACAGTACCACAGGCAAAATTCTATTTTTGTATATTTTCATTTTTTAATTTTTCAATACTGGATGTTGCACTACCAACTGGAACAGTACGAGTACATCCAGACTGAGTACAGATGTACGTAGTGTGTATTATGAAGGGAGAAATTACAATCTACACTTAAAAAAAAGGAAAGTAAAGCTATCCCTGTAGCAGGCCGTGGAGGCCCATAGGGCTGTGAGACGTCGAGGCTCCCACACTTTCTAGACAAAGCTATCCCTGTAACAGGCCCCCAGGGCCATAGTGCGGCTGGAAGGATTAGGTAAATTGAAAAATCCAATGTCCTCATCAAGAATTGAACTCGCGACCTTCCGGCTTGTACCACAACAAAATATTTGAAATTTTACTACCAGACGCGTATCAGCTCCACTGACTGACATGCTGACATGTGTCTACTAGCAAAACTTGAAAGTAATTGTGACCAATGAACATGGTCATTTGCAAGTATAGACTGATCCATAGGTAACAGCTTAAGTAATAGACGTTGAAGGGTGCTATCTTCCTGCGATGTGATGTTATGTGGTGTAGTAAAAATTTACTGAAATTTCGGAGGAAAGTACTGCTTCCCTCTTCAGGCAGAAGAACATGCCAAGAAAACTGCTTATTGCTTGCTTCGCTTACTCTTTCATCCTGAAGGCGGTAAGTTTCTCTGAAATACCTAACTATACGGTATCAGATTCCATGCAACTTACTCTTCGTAGTCCTCGGCGTGAGAAGCTCAAATCTCACGCAATCAGTCCTTTTCTTTTGTGGTTTAGAACATTCTCTCATATGAAGCGTCTTTCAAGACCTAAAGTCCAATTGTTAATACCCCTACCTTGTATCTCGCCTGCATACAGGCGAAACTGGGTTCCTTCGTGCGTTTTCCTATGCCCTTCTATGCAACTGCTAGTAATAGTACCTTAACAGGCCACAATCGCGCCACTGAACTATTGAACCTACACAGATAGAAGGTATTTCGAAATAAACAAGGCATCAACCTTTCTTGGAGCGTTTAAAAGGAATTTCTGGGGTTCCTCAATCACTTCTCAATATCCATCAGCCATTCAGGAATGTTAACTGCGTCATCACTGCTTCAAAGAACGTTACCGAAACTCTTATTTGGAACCTGCCGATCGTGTAAACCCGTATTAAAGACAGTTGACCTCGTTGGCAGCGTACTGACAGATTGACTGACTGATATGAAGCAGTCATTCTTGAGAAGCTAACATTTGCTCAGCTACTCAAGACATTCCATTCGTTTTATGGATTCGTAAAAATTTATTATTATCGTGTTCACACGAATCATCCACTGGTCCATATCTTGGTCCAGATGAATCCAGTCCACAGCCTCCCTGCCCACTCTTTGATATTCAATTTAATTTTATCGTCTCATCTACGCCTAGGTTCTCCCAGTGACCTCTTTCCTTCATGTTTTCCTATCAAAACTTTGTATTCGTATATATTTCTCTTGTTTCCCATTAGTGCTAAGTGCACCGCCAATCTCATACTTCTTATTCGTTCGCCCTAAGAACATTAAAACTGCGTGCTGCATGCCCACTCATGCCGTATTTGAGTTGATCATTCTAATAAATAATACTGCAGCGTACAGACCCGTTACTGGGTAACGACCGCCAAACACGCAACGAAACATGTGCTCCTAGGCAAGTTCTTAATAAGCAAATGCATGCAGCCGTTACTGAGTAACGCCTTGGCTAACAAATACGTTCCCACGGAAACGAGTCCAGTGCAACAATAGAGGAACTGTTGGAAACTGTGTTTTTTACAAAGTTTGTGCCAAGGGGTTATCAAGTTTTGAATTAAGATAGTTATATGGAGATTGCACATAGAAATCATCGAAGCCAAGGCCTTCAGAACATTTATAAGATTGTAATCCACATTCAAAAGTGAGCGATTAAGCGCTAACATTAAACGGACCCTTCACAAAATTCTCATTAGATCTGTAATGACTTATGCTAGTCCCGCCTGGAAATTCGCGGCATACACCCATCTAGTGAAATGGCAACGCCAACAAAACAAGGTTCTCCGCACGATGGGCAATTTTCCAAGGTGAACACCGGTCCGGATTTATACATGGCATTCAAAATCCCGTATGTATATGACTATATAACAAAATTATGCAGACAACAAGCAGAAGTCATACAAAATCATGATAACGAAAATGTTCGCAACATCGGACAAGGCGAAGCCCGACATAGAAAGTATAAGAGGTGTAAACTTGGCGGCGATCAAGCATACGACCGTTCAAGTGACTAAACTGCTGTTGTAGCGGAAGCTACTAGAAATTGAGCATAATCTGCTGTACTGAGCGAGGACTGACAGAGGCCCTGTATATATTTTATATACAT